TGCATGGCTTAGGCTACCCTAGGTGCTGCTTTTCCCCGAAAGGCCCACCGCCTAACTCTTGTTCCACCTTGTTAGACGAGGTGAGGAAGTCATCGTCTCCCTCTGCGTGGGCCAGACAGCCACTTACATCAACCCAGGGAGCTCAGGACAGGCTGCGCTCCCTTCCCCTGCCCCAGCCCTACCAGCTCATCTCTGGCAATGAGCAGCCCCGGGAGCTCCCCAGGGCAGCAGGCTAAGCCTTCTGGCCAGGCTCTGGTTGGGAAATAAAGAAACCAGAGCTGCCGGGGGCAGCTGGCCTGGCTTGTGTGGCTCCCTCCCTGTCAGTTGGCACGGTGGGCTTCCCTGCGCAGGTGCACTCGGCTTCCTTTCTCTCACGTCCCACGGAACATCTGCCCCAAGAGACAGCCCAACAAAGGGGGCTCCCTCTGGTCAGGAAGCGGAAAGCTCGCCTGGCCTGGGTGGATGCCGGCAGGGAAGAAAGAGAGGATGGAGTGTTAGAAGGAGACGACATGCTAAAAGTTTAGAAGTTTTTTCGAACGGCTGTTCTCTACCAGGAGGGTGACTCTCGTGGAGAAGAGGAAGAATCAAAGTTAACAATGACGGCCCTTCAGTGACTCTAAGACACCTCAGATTGGAAGATGTCTGTTATTTTATGTACTGCTGAAAAAGAAAAAAATAAGTTGCCGATTCAATTGTCATGCCGCTGACTGGTAAGGTGCCTCTCAAATTTGGAGATTTTTTTTAACACCTTTGTTGGAGTAGAATTGCTTTACAGTGGTGTGTTAGTTTCTGCTTTAGAACAAAGTGAATCAGCTATGCATATACGTACATCCCCATATCTCCTCCCTCTTGCGTCTCCCTCCCACCCTCGCTATCCAACTTTGGAGATATTAAAATCTTCTTTAAAAAGTGTCTTAGAGTCAATGAAATACAGAAAAATGCCTTAAATCTGAGGTTAGCGCCTCTCTCACACACCTCGACCACACAGGGTACAGGAAGGCGCAGCGTGTGAGTGTAGTCAAAACCCCGACCAACTCCTGTGCTCGGAGAACAAGCCTAGTAACCACGCTCTCTGGAAATAGGACCCCCTTACGTTGGATAGGACTTCGCAGTTTATAAAGCCCTCTCACACCCATTTATCTCACTGGATGTCTCCCACTGCCCCGGAGTTCAGAGAGGTCTGACTTTGTCAAGCACACCTGGGACCTAAGAGCGGACGGAGAGCTGGGACCACGGGCCCCATCTGCTGAGTCCTACCGCAAGGCTTTTCCAACGACTACAGGACCACTATCTCAGAGAGGGTAGAGACAGACTAGTGAGGGTGGAATTAAGTGGCTTTTAAACGCTTTTCCCAATGAAACTATTTACAGAGCCTCAGTGTACGAAGTGGAATAAAATTGGAGTTGTTTTGGGTGAAGCAAGGGGAAAGGCTGGAACCTCACCCACTCTGTACCACCAGCCCTGCAGGTCCTCAAGTTGGCTGCCATCCAAGCCATCCCGTTGGAAACCCATGGAAACCCACGATGGCGACCCTACCAGCAACAAATCCCTCTGTACCTGCTGCCCTTGCACGGAACGAGGCCCTTCCACCTCCCTCCTCACCCTAAGGAGACCTGGCTGGTTTATAGCTCAGACACCTCCCCAGACTCCCTGAAGCTCTGAGGAACAATCTGGAGTAAGGGGCCTTCAACTCTCTTGGTAACATTCTTTTCTCAAAGCTGGACTTAGATATTATTCTTCATACCTTTGGGTATGTCTTAAAATTTTCATGAAAAAACGGCACTTGGTGTAGATGGGCACGTCAAAGAGATGACTTCCAACCTGGAAGCTTAAAGTCAAAACAAAATCAAGCAGGAAGTTTGCTTTGAATTATGAGCTGGGGTGAGGCCTGGGCACTGAGTCTTTGTAAAGCTCCTCAGGTGATGCTAATATGCAGGAAAATTTGCAAGCCCCTGTATCAGCGGCATCCTGTCATCTCCAACACTCTGGAAATCTGAGGGAGGCCCCTCCATTCTCAGAGGGAGAAAAACTGGAGAGCCCAGGGTCTTTCTAAAAATGTAAGGAGACTGGGGACTCTTGGCGACTAGGGAAGGAGCAGCTGAAGGGACAGGACAGCAGGCAGCACCTCTTACTGGTCCCTGGATGGAGAGGGAAGCGGGAGGGGAAAGGCGGCGGAGACCAGGGAGAACCAGCGGCTGGAGCAGTGGTACAGCTGGGGATGGGTCGTTGGAAAGGAGAAAGCCGACGCGGCCCATGCTATTGGCTCTGTCGCCTATCAGAGCTTTGTTAAGGAAGCATCTACCCTCCTTGCTATGACCTGCTGTGTAGTGAGACTCCGAGGCCACCGGCCGGCTGCGATGCGGGCAGAGCCCCACTGAAGCTAGGAAGTCAGCTGTGGAGGGCAGAGCCCTTCGGGTCATCCATCAGCAACAGGAGTAGCCTTCGCTACTGCCTTCCTGGGAGACGCTTCAGCCCCTCCGTCGCACAGCTCAGACACCCCAGATATGCAGTGGAGATGCTAGGCGAACGCTGACTGGGAGAGAGGCAGGTACAGGCAGTAACAGAGACTCCTTGACTTTGGACTAGGCCAGCCTTACTGGTTGCCAAGGTTAGTAAACCACATGGCCTTTGAGTAAGCCACTGCATTTGTCAGCCTGACATCTGTGGATCTCTGTCCCCCCACTGGCCTTGGCAAACCAGGACAAGGGGAAAACTCGCTGGGGGATCAGGTTGTAACCATCAGCTGCTCCCTACGCCTCAGGGGGGTAGGTGACACATTCCATGGGCTGGTGGGGCTCTTGCCACGTAAACACCAGCCCTGCCTGTGTGCCCCGGGGAGTGGAAGGGGGACCCTGGAGGGGATAAACAGCTACCAGGGATGCAGAAAAGCAGCTGGCTGCCTCACCCACACCCCGCCCAGAGGTCTAGCGAAGGGGCAGGCGGAACAGATGCTGTCTCTGTTCTCTTTCCTCACAACACGCCTCCTCACCCTGGATCCCAGCTACCCAGGGTCCCGCAGAGAAGGAGGATGGAGGCCCACCGGCTGGAGCTCGAGGTGCCCGGGCCATCAAAGGCACGGGGCCCCATGCAGGAGAACTCAGGGGATGAGCGACAGCTTGTGTGGCCTCCCACCATTTTGCAGGACTCTGGGATAAGAGCATCGTTCACCGAACACCTTCCAAGGACCAGGTCCTGGGCCAGGGGCTAAAGGATGCATCAGACCCCTCTCTGCCCTCAAAGAGCTCAACGTCTACAGAGGGAGACAGCGCCCTGATGACTTCCTAGGAGGCCAATGGGGGCCCCGGAGTGAGCACCGGGGAGCCGAGTGGAGGGGTACCTAATGCATACTGGGGCCCAGGGAAGACTGCGTACAGGAGCTGATACTTGAGCTGAGACCTCCGGACAAGCAGGGAGAGCGGGGTAGCCGAGAAAACAGCGCGAAGAACGAGACAAAGCAGCGAGAGACGGCAGGGCACGAACAAGTGGAGCTCAGTATGGCTGGGGCAAAGGGTCTGCTACGGATGGGTCTTTGTGGGACGTGAGGGTGAGGAGATGTCTACAAGCCCCCGCGGGAGTGAGGCGGTCAGGTCTCCACTGGAAACTATTGCCTGCAGTAGAGGGTACAGACTGGAGCAGAGACCTTCAGCAGGGGCAGATGCACGAGCCCAGGGGACAGGGGGCCTTGGCCTAGGTCTTTCTGAAATGGGAGACACACAGAAAGGCCACGGGACCAACCTGCCGCACGTCCTTCCGGCAGCCTCTCCCCCCAGGGCCAGCCTTTGCCTGGCCCCTTGTAGCCCCATCCCGTTTACTTGTAGGCCTTTCAGCCGTGCTCTGCTCTGCGGCTCACCAGGGTCAGGTTTGCTGGCCACAGAAGAAAAGATGGGCTTGACCCCCTGCCTCGGCAGTCGTGGGGCCCGCCCTCCTCTCTCTCGCCTTCCACCTCACTGCCTGGTTCTCCCGTTCCCCTCAGGCCTGGGGGCCCTGGGCGAGGGTCTGCCCGGTCATGCCAGCACCCAGACAGGCAGCAGAGTCCAGGGGAGAGTGCTGAGCACCGAGGCGCTGGAGCCTCACCAAACTGGCTTCCCAGGCCAACTCTTCCACTGATTGATTAGATCTGAGCCTCAGCTTTCTCCGTTTCTGCCTGTTCCACAGGGACAGCATGAGCAATCAGCTCGCCGTGTTTCTGAGGGGATTACATCCTGTAATGCATGTGGAGGGACCTAGCACCATGCCTGGCCCACGGCTGTAGCTATAGCTTTCCTGATGGAGAAGCTGGGGTCACAAGCCAACGAGTGACTTGCCCAAGCTGGTGGTTTTGTGGCCCAGGATGGCAGGGCCCAGCCTCTCCGATAACCTGGGTGCCCAACTACCGGCCAATGAGGAAATCCACCTGCACTGGGGACCGCTATGCCTAGCTGTGTCCCTTCTAGAAGCAGCCACAGCGGCAAAAGTCTGAGTAGGGCCTCTGTCTGGTGTAAAGGCGGGCTGGGCTGATCACAGTCACCACGGGCTGCTCAGTGGGGAGCCCTGGACAGCCGGGTCCGACTGTTCCCCAGGGGCAGGGTTACCTCCACATGGGACGGTCTGAGCTGTGTCAGCCTCGCACCTCTGCTGAACAGAGCCCGCCCTCAGGAAACCTGGGATGAGGGAGCCTGATCACGTCTGGTTTTAGAGCTGCCACCCCTAGCTCAGTCCTCCAGCCTGGCCCAGCGCACATGGGGCCCCGCGAGCCCAGCAGATGCCCCCAGCAGACAAGCCCTGCTAAGAGCACAAGGCCTGCTCGGTCCCTGGCAGCACTAGTGGAAGCAGGCAGCAGCGTGGGGGGATTCGAGGCCGCACGTCCGGCCACGCGACTCCCAGGGCAGAGCTGTGCTGAGTGCGCCAGCTGCCCCTTGGTGGTCCTCCACGGCCTGGACGACCATCGGCCCCTTTTGTCTACTTTTCAAAGCAGAAGCCCTACTGAGAGGGTTCTGAGAAGCAAGGCCAAGACTCCTGGGTTCTCATAAACCTTTTAATAGCAGTAAATGAAGGAAACATTTAACAGTGAGTCCCATGGTGAGGGTTCCTTTTCATTCAAGGATCTTCAACAACAGAAACACCTCAGACTAAAATTCAGAGTGCTAAGTACACAAATTAATGACCATTTATTTCCAAAGGTGACTGCAGAAACCACTGTGGTACAATCAAAAGGTTTTACAAAACAGAGAAAACATTACAAAATGCCCCAAGAGGCAAGCAAACTGGTAGGGGCACAGAGCACCCAAGAACCAGCTTGGCAAAAATACTCATTCTGCAGCTGTTTAGGGGAATCACAAAGACCGGTTCTAAAGGGAGCCGCTGCGGGGGCGGGGGCCAGGGAGGGGTGTGCCCAGCGCATAGCAATCCCACCCTGGGAATGAGGAAGGACCGGGGTCGGGGCGACGACAGAGGCACTGCCAATTTCCCGGCAGAAAGAATTACAAGTCGGACTATCTTATTCTCTCTACCACAGTAACACCAATAGAGATGAAGAATTCCTCCAAATACAATACAACACTGACACTGAAAGAAAGCAGGTTTCCAAAACAACAGCTCAGCTTGAAATGACTTTTCTTGTTGTGTTTGTTTCGTGCCACGAGTAGCAAACCAGTGTACAAAAATGTCACAAGAGCAGCAACAAGCGACTAGGTTTTCCTGAGCTCAAGTGGCTCACTCTATATACAGAAGAGGAAGGTTCGCTCCCTCTCATGGACCCTACCCACCCCCACCCCCCAGAGGGCGGGGCAGGGTGTGCAGTGAGGACGCCCCTTCCCGGTAGTCCAAGGAGCATGCGAGGGCCTGCAGGACAGACGTCCTCCCTTATGCCTGGCTCCCGATTTACCAAAACCAGCACCGGTGTCTTGTCTTGTAGGGGCCACACTGGCCCTTCTTCTCCCTTCGCCCGCCTCCCCATCTCCCCTTCAGATGACTCGGGATCAACACGTACACATCCATGGAAGTCTTTTTCTGGCCAAGGGAGGGGGAGGAAGGGTCTTCTGCCAGCCTCCCCCTAACACCAGCGCGCAGAGACGTGCTGACAACCTGCTCTCCGAGGGCAGCTGTGCCCGCTCCGCTAAACACTGGGCCCCGACGCCCCACACGCCCTGGCCACGCTGCAAGCAGCTTCTGTGAATGCTGAGAAGTCCCAGGAGAAAGGGAGAAGGTTGACTTCGGGGGACAGAAGCTGTGGCTTCCTCACAAGCTGACAGAGGAACACATCACTGGGCCTCCGGGAAGAAGATAGGCCAGATCATCTTTGGTGTACAGAAGCAAATACCACGGGGAATGGAGAAGAGATGGGGGCCCACAAGCAGGCATGACCATCTGTTATTCTGAGCTGATGTCCCAAGTTGGCCAGCTGAACACACTGATCTCACTGGGCCAATCCTTAGCCAGGGCTACCTGGGGGCTGGAGGGAACACTCCTTTGCCTTCCCGGGGCCACTTTAAAAGAAACTGTCCACTTCCACAAACACACGGAGCTCTCACATGCTGGCCAATGGCACATGGAAACTTGGCCAGGATGGCTGGGGAAGCCCCTTGGCACCGCCAGGAAAGCACAGGGGACGTGCCGGGCAGCCCGGGCCCACTGCTGCAGGGGCCACCCTCCAAGGCAGGCCGCCGAGGGTCTGGCCAGGTAACCTCTCCGCATGGGCCTGGCCCAAGGAAAGAGTCAGGTAGAGACCAATTCAGACGCCCGCTGCTGCCCAACACCTCCAACGCAGGCCATGACTCCCTGTGCAACCTGGGACGGGACTTGCTCTCTGTTCCTTCCCCCTACATGTTTCCGAGCCAACCAGAAGCCCTGTATCTCCCCTTCTCATCCCCCTCCCCCAGACAGGTGCACCTGCCTCTGACCTGGCCCAGCCAGGCACGTAGCTTCCACTTTCTTCTTTCCCTCTAAGCAGCTGAAAGCTGCCAGCCAGCGTGGCGAACTTTGAGAGGCACGCCAGTGCAAGGGAAGCTCGAGCTGACTAGCACCCCGCACCAGGCCATGGAGACACGGAGGAAGAGGCCAAGGGGCACTGAGGTCTTGCCTCATCAGCCACGCCTACACGCAGCCAGTGGGCGGGGCAAATCCAGCCCCTCAAGAGCTGCCTCTTCCGGAGGGCAACCCAGGGCTGAGAGGCACTAAGAAAAATTCGGCCAAACCCTCAAAGATGGCAGAAAATGAAGGTCACGCATCTTGAGGAGCTCACGGGTTCCCCCTTCCTGCAACCCCACACCCTGGGGATTGATGACCTCACTGCCAGCGTACCTCTGCAAAGGGATGGGCCCCGCCGTGGTTGCTTCCCTGGGCCTCGCCTTGCTAGGAGAGACTTCTCCATCCTGCTGCCTCCTGTAGGTCCACTTGCTAAAATCATGACCACTGAGTCCCTGAAACTCAATCTAGGTCTGACACAGTAACACCTGAAATATTGAATGGGCCCAGGGCAACTGGGCTGCCTAGAGTGGGAGAGGGAGTGGGGGGGGCTCATCAGAGGAGGTCCCAGAAATATCTTTTCTGTTATTAAGTAATCTATTCTTAGTAAGAGCCAACAGGGAGCCAGCAAGTGGTACCACCTCCTTCTTGAGGTCCATGTATGACTGAGGCTGCCTTGCAACAAAAGGTCTCCCTTTCAGAGCACTTGAACCTCCACCCATGGGGACCTGATTTTTTGGTACCTCCCTTTCAACCCAGACGTGGGCTTTCGGGCTGGGGAGCATGTGATGTCCCCCACCCCCATGCTAAACAATTCATCTCTGAGTCTGGCCGCAGTGACGACACCTGGCCCGAGGGAAACAGCACTGCAGGATCTGTATGTTCCCAAACCTAGGATGCCGAGACATGCTGCAAAACCACGAGACGGATCGACAGGTGTCCCTCCAGAGACAGGCCCTGATTCAAGGATGCTCCGAACTCAAACATCCAAAAGCAAATGGACAGACGAATACACAGAACTCCAAGAGCCAGAAAACCCAACTCTAGCTCATCCTTCCCTGAAGCTGCCTTTAAAAGAGAGAGAGAGAACATTTAAGGGGCACTCAAAATTAAAACGTCATCTATTATCAACATTAAACTAAAAGCAAGCATATGATTCAGATCACAGTTTTCTCAAGTTACCACGGCTTTTGACTCATTTCTACACTCACTTCTGATTGGGATATGGGTCAGTTCTCAGCTCTCAAGCAGAATTTACCCAAGGTCCTGCCTAGCATTAGCTGTGGACATTTCAACCTTGCGCACTTTGGATTTGCCATTGCAATAGTGGAATCTAGCCCCTGGGCTGGGTAGCGCCCCACACCTCCCACCTCTGGCAGCATCCTGGAGGGAGTGGCTGGTTGGCCGCTTGCTTTGAGTCATGGGACACCAGTGGGAAGAATCTGGCCAGCTCTCTTTTGGCCATGAGCTGGGAAATCCCTTGGCTCTCGGCTTGCCGCTGGTATAGGAACAAGGCCTCAGTCCTCTTATGGTGAGGGCTGTGCTGGAGACAAAAGGGGACCCCAGCATAAGCCTGGAGGTCCCTGGCAGTGGAGAAATGAAACACAGCCCAATCTCATCGCTTCGATGCCAAAAGAACTACTGCTTGTTGTTCCCTTTCTCCTCAACCAGATGTTGTTAAAGCAGCAACTAGCAGAGTGAAAGCCACTGACTACTGTCTCGCCATTTAAGGCCACGAGGAGCAGGGAGAGAGCGGCAAAGGGAAGGAGGAAACGTGCGGCCCTCGGCACTACAGCCCATACTCCAGCACTACCGCCCAGGCTCCAGGACTACCGCCCAGGCTCCAGCACTACCGCCCAGGCTCCAGGACTACAGCCCAGGCTGCAGGACTACCGCCCAGGCTCCAGAACTACCGCCCAGGCTCCAGCACTACCGCCCAGGCTCCAGCACTACAGCCCTGGCTCCAGGACTACAGCCCAGGCTCCAGCACTACCGCCCAGGCTCCAGCACTACCGCCCAGGCTGCAGCACTACAGCCCAGGCTCCAGGAGCCGTCCTGGGGGAAGAGCCGGGGAAGGAAGAGTGGTGGAAGAAAGGGACAGAGAGGAAGGAAAAAGAAACACACCAAACGTCCTCCTGCCCTCTCCCATGATGTCATCAAGAGCTGGGTGTCCTCCAAGTGGAGTCAGGACTTGTTTCCTCAGGGGCAGAAGAAAAAAAAAACCCCAAAACAAAACAAAACAAAACAACACAAGCACCTTCAGTCTATTTTCTTGGCTGGAAGCCGGAGCAAATCCAGCAGATATTTACACAAGGGCCCAGCCATGTATGAGAACAGGATGACCAGCTTCCCGTGGGTCATGGTCATGAGAGTCTGGTGTCCCGAGGCCCAGATGCGATACCAGGGGCCGTAGAATGGGTCTGAGATGGCCGGACACAGCATGTTGTTCAAATTCACTTCGGTGACCTGCAGGGACAAGGGAGGTAGAGTGAGCGTTCACCATCCTTAGGCTTTCTCTGGCTTCTGCCAGTTCAGCCGTGTCTACCTCATGGGGACTAGACAAGGAGGGATTGTCAAATCCCCACCTGTTCATAGTGGGATCTTTCTCCCCTAGGTTTTCTGAGTGGGTCAAGGCTAGAGCCCTTTGGAGGTGACGGGGGAGGCCGTCCAGTGGAAAAGCTGGTCGGTTTTGCTCAGTCTTGCCTTCCAGTTGGGCCCAGTGCCCGTTGCCATTCCTAAGCATTTACTGGGTGCCTAGACCCGGAGGGGTGTCATGGGATAAAGGCAGTCCGCGGCACGGCCCCTGCCTGCATCAAGGTGGGGTGATCGGTCTACCACGTGTGACCTCAAAACAGACGGTGCTCACCAGCTCTTGCCCACCACGGGATCTGAGGGGTGTACAGGACGGGGGCTGAGTTCTCAGAGAAGATTTCACGAGGGCAGTGACACCTGAATGGACTCATGAAGGATGGATGGGGGTCATGGCGAGAAATGGAGTGAACGGAGCCTTCCCTGTAGGAGGCCCAGAGGTGACACCGAGCACGGTACGTATGGTGACGTGAGCACACCGACTCCTCTGGAATCGAGGAGTCCCAGTGGACAGCAGGTGTGAAGGTCATACTGCTTCCTCCCTAGAGAACAGGAAGCATTCATGCTATTGGCAAGGAGCTCCAACTAGCCCCCAGGCCAACCAGAGCAGAGCAACACGCCGGGATGGGGAAGACAAAATGACTGAGTGCTTCAACAAAGGCGCTGGTGACATCGGTTACACGCCCTAGTCCTGCCAGGTCCACGCGGCTAACGCTACATTAGTGCCGCTCGCACGCAAAACCCGGCATGCCGCTCCAGCCTCGAGCACGGCCACGGCCCCTGCCTTCCAAAGCCCTTCAAGCGCGTTCTCCTTAAAGACAAGTCCTCACCACCTCTCGGGGTCGGGGTTGCGGGCCTGGGCCGTGTCACGGAGGGTGGAGAGCGCACTGCACTCGAGAATGAGGTGACTCACCCAGAGCAGTGGCAAGGCCAGGACTCGAACTTGGGTCTCCCGACCCCAGCCCCAGCCCCAAGCTCTTGCTACTCACTTCGCCACCACTAGACACACCGCCCACGCACTCAGCGATCCTGGGCTCTGGAAAACTCGACTACTGAACATCCCAGAATGCCACGGGGGTCACCCGACACCACACTTTCACTGGACACACAGCTCAGGGCCCGGTAGTAGACCCAGAATGGACCCGAGGTCAGAAGCCTCCCCCAGGCCCAGGGCCAGGGCTAGCATCCTGCCTCGCATGGGGTCCACAGCAAACCACTTTCCAGCGCAGCTCTCTAGCTCCGATCCAAGCGGCCGTGAGTGAAGGGCCTCCTTGCCTCCCCAGGGGTGAAAGGCACAGTCATTACTGAAGGATTCAGAAAACTCTTCGGAGAGGCCAAGGCTGTGGATCGTAAATCAGGAGCCCAGACACAACACTCTGACAGCCTGGCCTTTGGCATCTTGTATTTTCAAAACAAAACGATACACCAGCGCCAACCAGGATTATCAAGATTTATGAAGAACGCCAAACAGAAGGGATAGAAGGGGATAGAACCAAACTTACCAGGCCCAGGATCTGCAAGACGCTGAAGTGATAAAAGAACATGAGGCCAGTCGAGAGAAGGGCCCAGCGGAAACTGCTGAGGGGCTCCGGGGTATAAGCACCTGGGGGGAAAGTGGAGACAGTGAGACAGCGCGTTTGGTGACCCTCTTCTCCTCCCTTGTCCCACGAGGGTGCGGGCGCTGCGGCCACAGCTACCGCCTGCTGTTTACCCCCTTCTGCTGCCCTGCGACGGCTGCTCGAGAGACAGCCCAAACCGATGAGCTGGGTACTCCTATCACCCCTTCCAAAGTCTGTTCTGCCATGTAATGCCGGGGCCATTACAAAGAGGGATTTTTTTTTTTTTTTTACTGTTGTTATAAAAGTAATACAGTCGGCCCTCTGTATCTGCGGGTTCCACATCCACGGGTTCCACTAACCGGATCGGTCCGTGGTCAGTTGAACTTGTGGATACGGAGTCCACGGATCCGGACGGCCGACTGTACTACCCCGTTTTCTATAAGGGGCTTGGTCAGCCTCGGATTTTGGTACCCGCAGGGGTCCTGGAACCAGTCCCCCTCGGACACTGAGGGATGACTGCACGTGCTCACTAAAGGAAACTTAGAAAATGTTAAAAGGTAGAAATGAGATGGAGGAAACGAAGAAAAACACCCCCAGCGCTCTACTGAATGTGACCACTGCTAGCACGTGGGTGTGTCTCCTTGGTTCCTGTATGCCTTGGGGGCTTCTTTTCTTTCCTCTTTTGATTACTAATCGGAATTTTACTGTATATATAATTGTATAGCCTTCATGTCCACATTTATTTTAATCATTCCCTCATGTTCCTAAAGAGAAACGTCACCGAGCAAGTACGGCATGGTGGTCGAGACGTCACACAGATGTGGTTTCAAACCTGGATTCTACCACTTACTGGCCGTGTGTGACCCTGGAAAAGGTGTTTCAACTCCCCGAACCTCAGCTTACTTGTCTGTAAAATGGGGCTACTTCTGAGAGTTGTTGCGCCATTTCCCAACCATTAGACAACCCTCTCCCCTTGGAACAGCAAGAATGATGTATTTTCCCTCTATCGGCACTCAGGAACTCCTATCCCGGTAGGCTTGGATGTATTCTAGACGCTGCAGGGCAGGGGTGTGGCTTATAGGACGCTACGGGTGCGTGCATCCATGGGGGTGCTCCGGAATGGAAGGAACCTGGAACCCTCTACCTCAAGCAAGTAGGTGGCGACAGGACATCCTGGAGTAGTGTTTTCCCAAGTCAGTCTTTCACAGATTCATCCATTCATTCACCAGTTATTAGGCACCTATCATATTCCAAGCCCTGCGCCAAACTTTGGGGAAAGGAACATAAAGAAGACGGGCTCCCTGCGGCCTCAGATGCGCGATCCGGCAGACGAGGCAGACAAGCCACTAACAATGAGAACCGGTATGATGGGTGTGATGACCCAGGTCTGTGCCGCGCGTTAGGGGGCGGGCGGGGAGACTGATTTTTGGTGCAGGGGGCACCGAGCAGAGTCCTAAAGGACAAATGGGACTAAAAGAGAGGCCTAGGCATTCCAGAGCAGCAGCCTGCAGGAAGGCAGACATCCGTGGGAACGAGCCAATTCACAGAACTATGGGGAAGAGTTGAGACCACAGGGGAATAGGACTCAGAGGTTGGCAGGGCTAGGCTGCTCCCAGCTGGGCCAGGTAGGACCTTAGGAGCCCGGCTGAGGGCTTTGGGCTTCATCTTGTGCCACAGGGTCATGACCCTAGATGCCTCAAACCTCAGGCAGGCAGGTAACTGGGAGCAGGGGGGTGACCAGTCAACAGGGATGCTGGAGATGGGCCAACTGGGAAGCCCAGGCCCCTTCTGAAGAGGTCAGCCGCCACTCAGTTCCACCCCATCATTGCCCTACGGGGACGTGGGCCCAGAGTTGCCAGTGTTTTCACTCTTGCAAGAGAAGCCAGAAATGGGAACTTTCATATGGAATTTCCTGATTTTTAAACGTTGGCAAATCATTCAGATTGTTTTAAGAACGCTCAACGGACCACACGAAACATGTCTTCTTGGATGGCTTTCAGCTCATTGGTGGCCAGCTTCGAGCTCTGCCGCAGAGCCACAGCAAGCGGCGGAGGGGTCTGAAGCGGGAAAGTGATGCGATCAGACGTGCGCTTGAGAAAGATCTGCCTGGCCGGGGTGCGGGGTGTGGGCTGGAGCAGAGAGCGTCAAGGTGGGGGACTGAGACAGAGACTGCTTCAGGAACCCGATGACAGAGGAGGATGGATAGCTTTGAAGACAACGGCGGTGGCCCTGGGTTCTAGCTTTGCATCACTGGGTGGATGACGCCGTTTACTGAGATGGAGAAGAGAGGAAAAGGCAGATTTGGGACAGAAGGTGGAGAAAGGAGGCCAATGTTAGACATGTTGAAGTTGAGGTGTCCGTGAACTCTGGGAAATGCAGCGTGACGGGTAACAGTGTGGGCACTGGAGCCGGGCAGACACAGGTTCTCAAATCCTGGCTCTTGTCGCTTATCGACCTCAGGGCCTTGGGCAAGCCTCAGTATCTCTTGAACTCAGTTTCCCTCATCTGCAGAATGGGGTGCCGCCGCCTACTTCACAAGGTCGTCGGGTAGATAAGATCATTTAAGCCATGACTGGAGTGCCATATCTGGGATCTAAGAGATGCTGATTATTTTCATTATTATATGAATCACAAACTCAGTGAAAAGGACGGGGCCGAGCGTCCATATATAGGTGTCATCAGCACAGGACAGTAACTGAAATCACAGGAGCATATGCAGACCGAGTGAGGAAGAAGGTCAGAGGCAGAACAACAAGGAACACCACGGTGGGGAGTGTCGAGGGAAGGAGAGGAGTGAGATGGGGGTGACGGAAGCCCCCCGGGTCTTCTGGGGGGAGAAGCTCAGGCTTGCTCTGTGAACAAGAGGCAGGCTCACCGCACATCTGAGTCAGACGGCCCTTTGCAGGGACTGGACTCATCCGTCCACTTTGTAGATGGACAAACTGAGGCTGGGAGATGGGCAGTGACACAGCCAAAGTCAACAGCAGAGCACTGGGCTCTCAGACACAATGCCAAAGGACTCACTGCTCAGTGCCCCCGCTGCCACTTGTCACAGACCTCCAGCACACCACGTCGTACCAGCTCTTTGTCTATCTACCGGTCTAGACGAGCGCCTCGGGTCGAGGACTGCGTGGGATTCGTTTCTGTGTTCCTAGCAGATATCTAGCACAGAACTTGGAATGCGCTTATACTGTGTGCACTTTCCTGTCTGCTGGATGAGTGGGAATTGGGTACCATGTTGTCACCCTGACTGCTGGGGACGTAAAGGGGAAGAGGGCACCTGGAGGACCGACAGGTGCTTAGAGCCCTGAGCAGTTTTCCCCAGGTGTCCCTTCCCTCCAGCCTCTGCTTGGCTCCCCCTGGTGGCAGCAGGGCAGTAGTGACAGACCCCACGGGCCTGGTGGTGGCTGCAGGGGGAAAAAAGGACCGGGCGGGGGGGGGGGGGAATATCCTCCGCCAGACTTCGGCAGCCCTCCCCCACCCTCCCCTGAAGCCCCTGAACCCTGTCCTGCCCTATACATGGGGGGAAAGGAACGCCCAGGCACTGCCAAGGGGCTCTCAGTGCTCTCACTGCAACCTCAGGACCATTCATTCTGTGTTACATCACCCGTCCCACGTCGAGACGATTAGTTCTCTGAGGGAGGGGCCGTTTCTGATCACCTCTTCACCTCCAGCACCGGCTGCACGGTGGGCACTCAAAAAATCATCACTGCTTGGGAAATGAACGGGACAGGCTTTCTGGAGCACCTGTAACACTATAACCCTTTGGCTCGACAATGCTACTTTGAGGACTACCGTCCAATACCTCAAACACCCAACACATGGCCCTTATTTGCACAAAGATATTTACACCTGCACTACCCACTATACTGAAACACTGGAAACAAACCAATTGGGGAGATAAGTTAAGTAAACTCTGGTACCTCAGTATTGTGCAACAGTCCACTGCCATTCAAATAACAACCAGACAAACTATATACCTGTGTGGCCAAGTCCCTGGCTCGTGATGGCAAGTGTAAATGACAGAACACCAAACAGTACATCAGTGATGGAAAATACAGCTTAGTGGTTTAAAACAAAGGCCTTGGGGTCAGACAGCCTTGGGTTTGAGTCCTGCCTCTGCCACCGCCTAGAGGGGTGACCTTGGGCAAACTGTGCCACCCCTCTAAGCCTGTTTCCTGTAGCAACGTCTATCTCTCGGGGCTGCTGAGTGGAATAAGAGATATAAAAAAAGTAAATACACCAGCTAGCCTGGCATACAGATGGCCGCTATTTTTATCATGGCAACCACAGCCATCCAACGTCTCATAGAAGACTGGAAGACGACAAGGAATCTCGTAAAGAGGTGATCTTTTTCTGTGAAGGGGGACTTTGTGGTTGCCTCTGCCTTTTCACTGCTGTTGCTTCTTTTCATTGCAAAGGTGATCAAATATTCAATCTCTTTGAAAAAATAGAGACAAAAAAGAAAGCACCATGAGAACAGATGACCCAGTCTACCCAGATATATGCAAATTGTATGCAAACGCACATCATTCTTTTTTTATATACCTGGATGTGGCCCTTGGGAAAATCTCAGTGAAAAACCAGTTTTCTTTTAAGAGAAAATAGAAACTTAAGCACTTTCAGAAAAATTAAACACATAAAACTTTTCTTTTTTACTTTAAGAAAAAAATAAATGTGACATTTTCTGCTAGCATCTTCTACCCCAGGAGGATAGAAGCATTTCAGCTCTAAAGGTAGGGGGAAACCGAGATAATAGCTTTTTCTGAAATTGATTTCTGCCAGAAGGAAGTTTTATGAGTGCTGGGAGAGACATCAACTGTGCCACCGACAGCCAAGACTGATCCCCAGAGGCCTCTCCCAAGGGCCCTTTCTCTCATCCTCTAATCCCACCTGGGAAGGGCTTACACTGAGGAGATGAGACTGGGCAGGATGGCATCCTATTCTCCAATCTCCTTCCTGCTCCCTTCAAGTCATTCACTTTTACATATTACCCATTCGTTCAACACGGACTGGCTGCACGCTGGGCAGACTCCATGCTAGA